TGCCCACACTCCTGAGCTAGCAGTTGTGGCAGAAGGGGAGGGAGTCACCCTACAGTCCAGGGCCTCCCAGACGGGCCCTGAACCTCCGGAGACCCTGGGCAGGAAAGGGGGCAGGTCCAGGAAGGGCCAGCGGCGGTCGCAACAGGTCCCGGCTGTGCAGTGGGTTCTGCGGAGCAGAGATGGCAGGAACCAGGCCCAGATGGGTTTGGGCCAGCAAGAGGCAAAAACGGCCGCTCCGCAGGCCGCCCACCCTGAATCTGGGACTCGCCTTACCCCAAGACCCCAGGAGCTGGCAGGGCCCGTCCCAGAAACACGCCACCTGACGGTGCCTCCGCCAGACGACGGCGTGACCGTGGAGACCCAGGCTGAATCCGTGGATACGGATGAGCCAGCCGACGTCCGGCCAGAGACCCCGGCGTCCCCGCTGGAGGCGGTGATCGAAGTGGAGGATGCCTCGTCGGTCTCCTCGGACCCTGCCGCAGGACTCCCGCGAGAGAGGGGCCTGTCGGGGTCCGGCGCGGTGAAGGCGGAGAGAGAGGAGGTGCCCGTCGTGTCCGCCGAGGAGGTGTCGGCCACGGATTCGGAGCAGCCGTCCACCGACCCGGACCCAGACCCGGAGCCGGACCAGACGCCGCGCCGGAGCTCTCCGGGGGAGTGTATCCTCCTCGGGGAGGCGACATCGCCGGACCGCGCCGCGGGGCCGAAGAGAGGGGTGAGGGAGAGGAAGGAAGAAGGGGAGGAGAAGGGCGAGGAAGGGGAGGACGTCCCAGAGAATGCGAGGGAGGGGCCGGCCCAGGCCGCCGAGTCGCTCTCCACTTCCTCTGTGCCGCTGACGCACAGGAAGCCCCCCAGGCCCTCGAGGCCGCTGGGCAAGACGCCCGTGGAGTGCCAATACTGCGGGCGCTACTTCCGCCACATCTCCCCTTACATCATCCACCTGCGCGTCCACACGGGCGAGAAGCCCTACAGCTGCCAGGTCTGCGGGAAGAGCTTCGCCCAGCTCTCGAACCTCAACTCGCACCGCAGGCTGCACGAGGCGGCCCGGCTCTTCCCGTGCGCGCACTGCGGCCGCCGGTTCCAGCACCAGGAGGGCCTGCGCTTCCACCTGCGGGTGCACGGGCAGACGCCGGAGGGGCCCGAGGGCCGGCAGCCCGCCACGCCCGGGGAGGGGCAGGAAGGGACTGCCGCCACGGGGGCCGGGGAGGCCCCGACGGTATCGGACCCCCCCTCCGAGGGGGACAAGCCCTTTGTGTGCCACGAGTGCGGGAAGGCGTTCCGCTACGCGGGGCCCCTGCAGATCCACATGCGTGTCCACAGCGGGGAGCGGCCCTACTCCTGCAGCGTCTGCGGCAAGGCCTTCAGCCAGATCTCCAGCCTCAACACGCACGAGAAGACGCACTGGCCCGTCAAGCCCTACGCCTGCAGCATCTGCGGGAGGGGCTTCACCCAGCTGGGGGCCCTCAAGGCCCACTCCCGGACCCACACCGGAGAGAAGCCGTTCTCCTGCGCGGACTGTGGGCAAGCCTTCACCCAGCTCGCCAGCCTGCGCGCCCACCAGGCCTCCCAGGTGTGCTGGGGGGAGGGAGGAGGGGCCGGGGCGCAGGGGGAGAGCGCACCCCGGTGGCCGGGGCTCCCCCTGCAGGGGGAGAGGGCCGAGGGGCCGGGGGAACCCCTTTCCTGCGAGTTCTGCGGCAAGACCTTCCGCTGCCAGGGGCCGTACGAGGCCCACCTGCGGTCGCATAGCGGCGCGCGGCCTTACCGCTGCGGGGACTGTGGCAAGCAGTTCGCCCAGGCGTCC